AGGCCAAATGTGGTCATATTTCCAGAAAGGCGAGATAGCATTTATATTGAAAGGATGATATTTTTCTAAGAACCAGCATTCAAGGTCAATGCACCATTGTCCTGCACATGGCAGATTTAAATAATTCAGTTGATCCAATTATGAAAAATTCGTGCCTTTGGCGGGATCAGAATCCATATCGACAGGAAAGGCTGTAGTATAGCCAACACTCTACCAATTGAGCTACAAAAGCAGGCCGAAAGACTTGCCTTTAATCACACCGGGATCGATTTAACCTACCCGCTTTCGGTGTGCCTTCGCAGTTCAATCTGTAGAACGTTGGCTGAACTACAGCCTCCCCTCTTGATTTGGGTTCGAGCATAACCGAGGTCACGAATTTTTTCAAAATTTGATCAAATGAATTATTTAAATCTGCAAAGCTCTCATAAAAAATAGAATGAATTGGTTAAAGTCATTTTAGTTGCATAAAACAGTAAAATATAGCATAAACTTTTTTTTCTCATGATACGCACTATCATATCGTTTACTATGCTGTCCTCCTTTGATTTACACCAGACGAATATTGCTTTTCGTTTTCTTCCTCATACATTCGGTAGTGGCAAATGTCGAACGGTAAAAACTTTCAGAGAGTCTGCTTTTAATTCGGGTAGATTTGCGGACGCACTTTTACTGCTACCGAGACACTAATGAAAGCGAGTGATTTTTGTCTGGATTTTTTTAAACGCATTTTGGAAATTCTTATCAAGGCCATTCAAATTAGGCATGGAAAGCCGCTGGCAAAAAAAATCGAGCCAAATGGTTGCGTACGTCACTTTTTTGTTTTTTAAAAAAGTTTTGAATTGAAGTGAGGTATTTTTGCAAGCCAAGGGGTGTTAATTAGCAACTTCGAGGTAAGATGTTCGATAATAAACGTACAAAAATTATTGCGCTTAAAAATACCCAGCGAGGACGAAGCGAGGGTAAGAGCTAGTAAGGAAAAAATTACGTAATACATATTTTACGACATTTAAATGTACGGTTTAATGTTCATATGTTTATCTCGTATAAGGTCGTCTTTTTCAGAAAAAATCGATTTGCGCAATTTTAACTATAAAGAGCGGTCCATCGTAGACTACATAGCAACTGTATCTAAATTTTAGGACTGTATTTATTTCGCTTTCGAAATACCATGACGAAGTGTAGATGAGACATCAAATAAATCTTTTAAAGCCAGGTATATTCACTTCTTTCGCCTGGCACTCAGAAATAATGTTCAATGGAACTATAAGAGGTCAAAAAGGCTCGAATTTAGAAAGCCGCATAATTTCAAACGTGCGCGGTGCTAATTATCGGAGTACACCATTAATTCATATTAGATGAAGTCATGCGGACAGGTTCGTATCCCTTGTTGATAAAATACAGTCGACGAAAATACAGTTATACTATCTAACAGTAGATATTCGATTTCACGATATGTGCACCAGCATTCTGAACTTTGTTTTCACTAAAATCTGATTATATAACTCGAGGAGTTATACGGATTTTCATGCAGCCTTATCCAAAAATATTTTAATAACGCCCGAAAACCAGCCTTTAAATGAGTCTCCTCCCTGTCACCCGAAAGAACTTAATTCGGTATAAATGACTGCTTAATTAGTATGATTTCCCTGTTTCAGATTGCACCATTAAATGTATTATATTTTATATAAAAATTTACAGCATTTTTCTTCCCGTTGGTAGCAAATTAGATTTGATTCAAATAGATTACTTAAACAACCGATATCGCTGGGGTTTAAGAAAACATTGAACGTATGCGCTTTCTTAGAACCAGGAAAGGTTAATTAAGTTAAAATTGGACCTCTCTGTGTTCTGTCTAAGAAGGATACGACCTGGTTTCCATTCATTGCAAGGTATATGAGCATCATAGGATCTATTTCAAAAGTAAACCACATATAGTTTGAATGTCCTAAGTGCCAGTTTGGCTGTGTGTTAGGTTTAAAGTTATTCAGGAGCTGGTAATGTTTTCACATCCTAATAACACCCTTTTTTCAAGTATCATATTCAAAAAAGATTATTTTCGCTACAAAGTGATTACAATAAAGAATTATTTGCAAATTTTATCTTACAACTGTTTGACAGTTAAGAAGGGTATTGACAATCAATATGGAGAGCACGTGATAAATAAGTAATGTTTTAAATGCAGTAGGAAAGAAGCTCGGGTAAAGCATTATTCTTTTGCAAGGGAACTTTCCAAAGATTATTCCGCAAGCTAATCAAAGTTATCCTCTCCACCCTAGTGAACATTTCTAATTGAAGGCTCCTCGCACGATTTAAACAAACATTTTATGACACACACAAACTACTGTAAATACGATTTCTCACACTCTTCTACAAAGAACCAGTAGTGTTAAAGGCCTCTAAAGACTTTTTACCGAGCCGACGGGAAATCGATATATTCGTACACCGCGAAAACATTTGGGGTTAGTTGTACGGACCTAGGCCACCTTTGCCATTTTACATCTGACTGCTGAGGTAGCAGCGGATTTCAAAAAGTTGATATCTGCAGGCAACTACAAGTTATTTCGTGCGCTATATGATGGCTTCCGAATCGCGTATATGAATATACGGTTTTCCTCAAAAGGAAAATATACAGTCCACAGGTTAAAAGATCTGAATGCAGATAGAACAGCAGTTTGGCTTCAGAATTATTCTTACCCATAGGGAATTTCCAAACAAAAAGAAGTATTATTGTTCAATAATACAATTTTCAGAAGAAAATAATTTAGTGACAGATGTGTACAAAATATAATATTTGCATTCACGTTTACTATAACATACATTCGAATTTATTTTGACGATGCAAATCAATGGCAAAAATACATACTATATACATACACACTACACAATTCGCCATTTGTATCGTGTTGTTTTTAAGTCGGAGCCTTTTCCAAAAGCTGGCACCCTGAAATGACTGAAATATCTCGCGAATAATGCTGTAGGATAGTAACGGTTACAACTCTACTTGGGTAACCACCTTTGTTGATTTAAGTTAAAATCTCACGAGATAGCAGAGCTACTTTATTGTCGCTGTAATTTAATCTCTTAGTTCAAATCCTTAACACAGAAATTAGTACGTTTCGAAAAATGAACGCAACCAACACGCAATTCATCGGAGTTCCCGTTAGAAAAAAAATACCAACACAAATCAGCCTTACATTAATATTAATTCCTATGGATGTTTTTGCCTTTCACATAGAGCACAAGGTGCATATCTTACATTTTTTGTTCAAAACACATTCATCAACGTAAAGGAGGATATGTCAGTGTCGAGGTAAATGTTGTCATCAAATCACAGTATGCCTTTGGAAACGTGCCTTTTTAGTAACCAGTTGTTTGTGACATTCCGCTCGGCAGAGAAACTCAGAGCCAGGCCCAAGAAGACGAAGAACACTCCGGTGAGAATGAGAAGGTAGTGAAAGTCGAGGCAGCAGCAACAGGCAGGCAGGCCGCGACGTTGACTGAATGTGAGAAATTCGGTTGTAGTCCTTTTGTCCGGCGCTGCTGAGGGCTTCTCAAAGGAAATATCCCAGAAGATCTCACCATCATTCAAGTATTTATGGCTCTCGAATTGAGATGTGACATCATTGATAGCCTGTTAAACGGTGACATATGAAAAAAAGACCAGTTACACCGAAATGCGAATATCGACAGGTAAAGTTAACGAAAAAGACGTGTTTGGCACAAAAGACACAAAAAGACATAAAAAAGATACACACACATACACATAAAAAGATACACATATTCAAGCCTTTTGACAGGCCTTTGTTCCAAGTACAATTTCAAAGTAATATTTATGTTCTTTTGCCTTCTGGAAAGTATAATCTACATGAAATTTACGAATCACAGTGAGCACTTAGAAAATGATCATGCATTTTAAGTTCTTGCGTGGCCATCTGGCCTAAGGGGACGAGGGGGAGATTTTATAAATACCTTTGCGCGTAAGCCGTCATTTTTCTCCTGCGTTCTCCCATGCAATAATCTCTGCTCTTATGCAGAACATTGGTTACGTTTTTGAGCACTATATACGAAAAAACACTGTTGAGTCCGATGAAGCATTTTCAGCCGGCTTTAACCTTGTCTGTGTGCTGTAATGGTTGGCAAAAAAGACGAAATTGTCGGAGGTCTAATCTTAACTCCATCAAAATTTCTCGTGCAGCACGACAAGACGAAGATGGTTAAAAAGCTCACGCAAAGCTGGAAGACAAACAGGAGCGGATCAGTATAATGCAAAGAGACTTAAACTGTTGGAAGAACGCATCTTGTTGCCGATGTTTAGAGATCCGATGATTTTGCCGATTACGCATAGGCATCTCATAAACTGAACATAATTATAAATACGCGTGTTCTAAAAATGGCGAAGAATACTATTTCAGAAACGTATTTATTTCACAACACAAATTGTCATGAACACTTTATATAGAACTAAGTATTACTGTGTTCGTAAATATTTTAACTATGCATCTGTGAGTATTTCCCATTTTTATTTATAGAGCAATTAAAAAGGGCAAATTAATCATGTTCTTCTGAGGCAAAGATTACTGTTTTATTAAACACGTAAAGACTGGATAACTGTGAACGGTTTAACAAAATGGACATTCTTAGAGGAAACATCTATTATGTGCTCCATTTTGTTTTTCAACTTGTTGATTTAATCTCCAAAAGCAGGGGTAGACAACTGTTGACAGCTTCAATATTTCATGATCTACTTTTCGTTTCACTTGCCAATCAAATGAATGCTCAACAACAGACAAGTATCGCTTAATTACGTTGACAGGCAAAATTCTCTGCTTCCTTTCATCGGACACTCACTTTATGGCTTTGGTTTTCTCCATCACGAAGAGAACACGTCATAACACCCTGCTCACTGGGAACCCGGACGTCAAGAGACTGAAGGTGATCGTCTGGGGAGATATCCTTTGTTACTTGCATGACCGTCTGAATTAGATCAGGCTGCTTCCGTTCGTGGAGGATGGATATTTGAAAAGGATTGATTTACAATAGGAATTTCAAGAACAAACTGAAATTTTCAAATGAAAAGTAGACTTACAATAATTTAAATGGTCAGAGCAAAGGTGGCAAACTAGAAGCAATGCAGGCATTATTTTGCTGTTTACTCTTTAATGCGATTTATTATTTGTAATAAGGTGAAGTGCATAGCAACGGTCTTTAACTACTAAACGCATCAAGTCAGGAGCACAAGGATATAAGTGTTGAAACACAGATAAGGAGAAGGACGATTTACCACAGACAGAGAAATATAAATCTAGCTCTTTTTTCTACAGAGGCCGATCTAGGGGCTTTGACGTGACCTTTTTGCGAAGGTTCCTGCATGGATGGAAAGCCTCAGGTGGTTTGATTTTGATTTTTTTAATAATTCAGTCTGTAAGTGTTGGATTGGGTGTGCATAGGAAGACTAAAATAGACTTATCTTGACGTCGAATACATGCCCTGTGGAAATTGGTTAGTAAACCAGCATCCGAAAGCTTTCACCGACCGGACGAGATTCAAAAATTGTAGCAAAGCCTATGGAAATTATTTTGTTTTTCCTAAAAACGTGACTTCCAGCATATTCCTTCGAACCAGAGCTGCTTTGCAGCAGAAAAGGATATTAGTTTGTGCAGACTTGTTCGCTTATATATTAAAAGTTCGTGCTCTAAAGCGTCTGAAGCGTACTCATCTTGCTCATATTAAAGATTATGCTGAAGAGGATATATAACCTTAGTAGTGGAATAATTTCCGGAGTTTTGTTACTCATGTGCAGAAAAGGATGCGTTTGGACAGCTGACTTACAGCGTAGGGAAGATGCAGTCATCATCTGTCGGTTTCTATCCTGTTCCCATTTGGCTTTACAAATGGGTTCGTTAACTTAACCTACAAGAAGTAGTCCCGACTATGAAAAAATAAAATTCTTACATTAATAAGCACAGGTTATGGCTACAGAAAGATCGACCATCTATTTCGATTATGCCCACCGTATGCCCCACAACAGGGGGATGAATA